ATGGCGGGTAGACAGTCGAAAGGTTGGAACTTGTGCAGTGGAGTCTGCCTCTGAGGGTGTTCTCAAATTGGAATCTGATACTTCTGGGGTGTTCAGAAGCTAAATTCTCATGAGATGATTATGCCCTCTGCTTTTCACACAGGCCTATTTATACTAATTCTACAGGTAGCCCTACTGTATTACAAATCTCCCTGACCTAATGCATTACTCATCGATTAGTCATCCTTCAAACGATACCGACCAATCGTGCTGCTGGTCCGTAAGCGCGGAGCTTCCAGGCCTGTTTGCTTTGTCGTCGGACAAGGGGCCGGGCCCAAAGGACTTCAATATGATTGGTCGGTGTGTCTTAATTAGTAATATTACTCGAAATATTACGGAGCGGCTTATAAAGCGCTGGGGACGATTACAGAGCGCTGACTCGTGTTGACGCTGTAATGTTGGGGCGCTTACAAAGCGACGAGTCGTTGACACTTTGTCAGGGTTGTTGGGAGTGTACTTTGCCCTTGTGGCCAAGTGGTTGGCAGCCTTGGAGTCAGCATATTGCACGGCGGCAGTGTGACTTGAAGGTCGTGGGTTCAACTCCCATCGAGGGCGTATCTTTTTGAGCGTTGATAATTAAATACTAATTATAGTCTATTCTTGTTACATGTGCAGATGAGGTCACGTAGCAAGCAGAATGCTATACTGTGAGCTTTATACACATGTGTAGTTGCGTGTGGCCTTGAGTAGATCGTTTGGTGTATCTTTTTGTACTGATCTTGCTGTGTTAAGGCTACGTGGCAAAATGGTTGCTGTCCTATTGCTATGTGTTATACACGCGCTTATAGCAGAAGCGTTGCGGGTTCGATTCCCGTCGTAGCCTCTTATTCTATAAGTAACCTTTTTTTTTTTTTTTTATGTTAAACAATTTTGCTGCATTACACCGAGGATGCCGGATTCAGGGCAAAGTTCTGCGGCGGTTCATGCACATAAAACCCTAGTCGACGAACAACGCAGCGGCTAATCATGGTTACAAGGCTTACCTGCTCAAAAAAGTCGTACAGCTCCCCCACAGCTTGCTGGTTTTTGCCCCGCATACAGGTGACCTAAATACCAAGACTGCTAATAGTCGCACTCTGTGTTCTCGTGTCGTCCTGAACCAGTGTCAGTAAGCAAATATCACTGTAAATTCGAAGCACACACATGATAGCGAGACCGCCTCCGCTGCATGTCTCTTCCGTCGCTCTTGCGCTTATGCTCAGACATGGCGGTCGATGTTTTGTAGCTGTACGTGCGCTCTAGCTGCGCATTGCAAGCTGAGTGTGGGGCGTGATGAAGGGTATTACGGCGATCATTTTGTCAGAAAAATAAATTCGACGCACACCGGAAGCTTGATGACGAGTGCAGATTTTAATCAAAACGATTGATTTAGACATAACTTAGACTGGGCTCTGAAACTTGAGTCAGATGTATACATCAGAATTTTATATCTGTTTGCATAACACACTGGTATGTAACGCTCTGCAGGGTTTCGTCGTCATATACACCTCCCAAGGGTGCCGAGCACCGTTGCGTTATGAGCGCTAAAATGGATGACATCGTTGCGGGCCACGGGCTATGGTTAGTGTGCAGGGGAAAACTAACCGGCCGGTAGATAATGTAGAGTAGAAAACTATCGGTCGCCAGGTCGGTAGAAAACCCGTGTAAGTTAGGGTTTCTTACATTAAGCGCCAAGATCGGCTACCCACATTAGCGCCCAGTAAGAAACCGGTAGGAAATGTAGAAAACGTAGAAAATGGCGGTAGAAAATGTAGAAAACTGCATTCGGTCCTACAGTAGATGTATAACAAAAAGCCTATGTCCAATCGATGATAGGTAATGACGTCCCGATGATGTTTGACAACCCCCGCCCTCCATCCTCGTTGTCCATAGTGGCAACTGTTGGCTTCGCGCGAGGTTCGTCCGATAGGATATCGAGGAGAGCGACCGACTTCAGGTTGACCTCTTTCTCGTCGTCTTCAATATTAAAGTGTTCGCTTTCATGTGGTACGTCGTCCGGAATGTCCGGAAATAGCTCTTCGTCATCGCTATCATCATCTTCCTCAACGCCGGCAGCCGTGGGTTTATCGGAACCGTAGATTGCCGTGTCAGCGGATGGCTGCGTACTATCCTGGGATTTCGTGGACCCAGCTAGCTTCTTGACGTCGTAAAAGGCCAGCGTCGGCGTGGAATGCAAATGCTTTCGATTCTAAGGTACAAGATGAGTGGTAAGCATGATGGCAAAGTATTGCTAGCGCACCGTGGGTTGTTGGTTTCTAATGTATGCGCGCACCTGCGCCTGAGCAAATATTGTTGAAATGTTCATATTCGCCCGCCTCGCAGAGTTCAACCATGTCACAACAGACATGGTTCTCTCATCCGCCATTGAATGAGGCGAGATCGAGTACAGTTTGATGGCGACTGCCTAACAGTATTAGGACGTCAGCATACGAGACGAACGTTAGAATTTAAATGTACCGCAAGAAGGCCAGCATTTGCAGTACCCCGGAATTTCTCCCACCAAGCACGCGGAGTCTCGTTCTCTGCAAGAGAGCCGTTGAACGGGCTGTAACCCAAGCTGTACGCCTTGAACTGCTCTTTTATAGCGGTGCTGAACTGATGCGATGTTCTTGTGCGCCATTGGGTGAACTCTGGGTTGCAGCCTTCCTGAATCTCGTTCCAAGCAGCTTCGCTAACGAAGTTCGCTACCGCTAGGAACGCTCGTGGGTTCCGTACGCCCTTTGGGACCTGGTCCCCTAGGGACTTTCCGTTGATTGTGATGGTGGGACCTTTCAGTGCATGCGCCTTTTTCCAGACATCGCTATCCCGGTATTCTAGAATAGATAAACATATCAGTAGGTTTTGATAGCATAGAATGTGGACCTACGAGGATTGAGATAGAATGCCGCTTTATGAACACATTGTTTGCCGCCGTCCTCCTCAAAGATCTCGTCAAAGCGAAAGTTGTATCTCGCTTTGATTTGACGAGCCACGTCTGGTGGAATACCAAGATCTTCGTCGTCAAAAGCCTCCGCTGTCGTAGCGCCAACCGCCAACCAAAACAAATAGACATCTGCGCATGTTGTGCGGGCAGCTTCCAGACATTGAATGGACTTCGCCGCGGGCAAACCCACCGCGAGCAGCTGATTCAATTCTAGCTCGAAGTCCATAGCAGGCTTGCCGCCCTTTCGAAAATATTTGTTATATTCCTAGACAATCATCAGTTGCGACGTACACGGCAGGCATATTTGACACACCTTTCCGAGGTCAAGCTGGCCCTTATCCAACAGCTCTTGTATCAAGGGCAAGCAGCGCTGGACCGAGACTACTGCCCATATCGTCGTGGCAAATCTGGTCCGTCCTGACTTCTCAAGTCCGCGAGAAACACCAGCCTCTTTACGCAACAGCTCGAGGTTCCATGATGAATCACTAGATAGACTAAAGTGCGTGAGAACGACTGAGACGACTTCTCGGCACTGTGCAGATCGATGAGAAAAGGTTGTTCGAGATGAGGAGAGACAACGCACAAGTTCAAAGTGTTCTAAGCCACAGATGTCCTTCAGATACAGATTGAAATGATGATGTGGATCACGAAGCGAGAAAATCGTCCTGCGTGCACGATAGAAACGCCGCCGTGCACCCAAGGTGTTTCCTGTACTGTCCGATGCAGAAGCTCCGAAGCGTTCCAAGCCAATGTCAATGAGTTCAGCAGAGACACTCTCGAAAATCCAGTCTGCAGTATGCGACACACCACGACCATCAATCATCGCAATGAGATATGCTGAACCGTCGTCAGTGATGACATGGACGGTATAGAACCCATGCTTCCGTCGAGTTGCACCGCCATCGTAGCTCACGGTCAAGTTGAAGAGTGTCTTCAAAAGCTTCTTCTGCTCTTGTGACAAATACGCAGACGTCGAGGGAATGAACTTGTCGGATAATGTAGAGGCAGAGACTGACTGGACACGGGAGTTGCTAAGCGTAGCAATAAATGCCTTCCACTCCGGTAGGTCCAAAATACGTGGCGGTAGGCCAGCAACACAGAATAGGTCGGTGAGAGCTTTGTCGGCATTCTTCTGCAGGATTTCTCGACCTTTCGCATGATAGACTGTTGCAGGCCTTGGAGCGGTTAAGCGCACCGGTTCGGACTCGTCCGAAGCTGGCGGCAGCGCCGAGTCGCTCGTGGCTTTCTTCATTGCGTCCACCTGTGCTTGCGGCGACCTATCCGCAGAGTTGCTCGATGCTTCAGCGCGAAGCTCAGATGGCAGCTTCTTGCAAAGCGTAGCATGCTTCAAGACACGATTCTTGGTACGACCGTTCCATGTAGTATCACAGCCGATGCACTTATACACGTCAATTGTCTTCCCACCCGGTGTTTTCGTCTGCCGCACAAACACAGTGAGCTTGTCGAGTAGTGGGTCACGTTTGCGACCTCCAGGACGAGATGTTGGTATGTTATCGTCTTCAGTATCGCTCGTGTCTCTCTGAACTCGTGAAATAGGTACTGTGGCCTTCAGCTTGCCATCGCTATCCTTGGACCCACTTGCAGCAAGCATATCACGTATAGATGGTGCTTTAGCTGATTCCGAAGACGTGGAACTTGTGGTGATCTTTGCCTTCTTCGCAGATGGTTGCGTTGTCGCTGCTAGCTCGCTGTCCCGTGCCCGCTTTCGCAAAGTGAAAGGTATGTCTCGGTCCGGACTCTTCTTTGGACCGTCGTCTCCAGCATCGCTGATCTCGTTGTTGCGAGCGACAATTTGCTCGAACATTGTCATGCGAGCAATAGCGATCGCATCAGGAAGGCTGGCGTCGATCAAAGGGTATATCGCAGGGAGCATATGGTGGGCGAGAGCGTTCAGGCTTAGGACGCCGCAGGACCATTGATCGGATTGCTGGCTAATCGGAAGCAGACGCAGGGGGAACTCGCCCTCCATGCCGTGCTGTTTAAGCCACCAGCGCATTGCAGGAATAGCTTGTCCGCGTGATTTCGGGGTAGGTGCGGAAGACGAGACATTTGCGAGCGAATCCCCCAATAGTAACTCCCCGGCCTCCACGTCGACAGAAACGGCAACCCAATGGTTCCCGTTGACATGGAATATCCCTCCGAAGTTGTGAGTTGTCTTGTCCTTGAGTGCTTGTCCAATTGCGCGGATGCGCTGATTACCGCCGTCGGTCTTAGAATACTTCTTCGCTGCGTACCTAGAAATGATCTGGCTTGTCTGTGCAAGCCGGCCTACTTGTCGCGTCTGTGAGAGGTTGGACTTCTTCAGCTCGTGTTGTACGACAGACAGCATCTGGTCAATGTTGAAGTTGGTGAGTCTGCTTCGTCCTAGAAACTGGGATAGCTCAATAGTGAGTGACAGATTATCATCCACCAGAACCTTCCCGTTCCATTCCAGGTTCAACATGAGCTTCCTAACCCGAGCGGCTTGTTGCTGAACTGCGGAATTCGACTCGTCGCAGTCCGGACCATCAAGTGTCAGTGCGGTAAGCCATTCCAACCCCTCGTTCCACTGCCGCTGTGTATGAATGACTTCGTGAACCAGATCCCAATAATTCAAGATGGACCAAGGATA